ATTCCCGACATCACGGATTAGTATTACTTCATGCGAGTGGAAATTTCTGGGCACTCTAGTGTTCAATCATCTTCCACCATTGGATCACGAAAGGCAGACCAACCAATCTACATCCTCAGGCTTTAGAAGATTGAACAGGGGCAACTGTTGTACCCCAAAATTTGCCCTCCTATTTCTCAAAGGATCGCCCTTGACTCTCAGGTTTGCTCCTATCAAGTTTCAAGTCTTGAATTACAACTTTTCAAGAAAATCACTCTCAAGGGCAAAATGGTCAAAAGCACACTGAAAAAGTCAAACTTTGACTTTTAAATCAAAAATCAAGTTTCAACAATTATATTTCATCAAGACATTGAAGCTAGTTCATCAAAATCAGAAGTCAGAAATTACTTTGAAAAAAATGAAATTTCTAAACATTTGGAAAAAATTTCTAAGTGTTAAGAGAATGTGATACTTCAGAACTTCTGAGTCAGCCTCCACGCAAGCGCAATCAGAAGTTGCAAATGTGGTTCAGGACATAGCCTTCCATCAGAATGTAACTCTTCAGTGCATGGAGGTTACATTTCTGATCTTCTGCGATCAGAACGTCACCAAATCCCAAAACCTCGTTTAAATAACCTGCTGCCCTGCTACACCACAATCCTGCAATCAGCTGCTGACCCAGTTCACACCTGCACTTTCTCAAACCCCATATTTGCATCAAATTAGTATACGAAAATTATGATTAAAAAGCAATGAGACAGTATACCAAAAAGGTTTGAATCCCATTTGTTTTCCCCCCAAAACCACAACAAACCCATCTATAAATAATATGCTAGATCACACGTTCAAGGGCTGGCTTTTGGAGAGAGAGAACTATCAAAAGAGAGAAAAGAAATTGTGAAAACTTCATAAAAAATCCAGAAATCCGAAACAGAAAACCAAACCTTTGTTCTTCCTTTTGAATCAAAGAACATGGTATTTTCTTTTCCATTGCTCCTGCTGATTCTAGAACATTTGAAGGCAGCAGCTCAAGTTCCAAGCCCACACTCCAGGTTCAAGGTAAGTATTTCTGACTTTGCATTTTTTTTTTCACTTAGAACATCATTAATATGTAAATATCACAATTAATGTTGTCCATATCATTGCATAAGTAGAAAAAAATTATGGATCAGAGCTTCTTGGTTAAGGCTAGACTCAGATTTAGGATTAGTACTTCTATAAACAGTTCAGTTGACTTCTCATAAGGAAACCCTAATTTGGAAACTTTGGACTTTTTGATGATTTAAGAGCTTTCCTTGAGGAATCATGATCAAACCTTGATCAAATGATGAATATCACTTCAAAATGTTGATGTTGACCAAAAATCTTAAAGTTTGACTGTATGCTGACCATAATTGACTTTTTACCCAATACAATTGACTTTCAATCATCTGAGCCATTGACTGAGCAAACTTGTGATGTAAGACTTGAAACTTGACATGAGCACTGTTGAAGACCTATGATGAACCATGAAAACCATTTGAGTCCTTTGTAACCCAAACTTCCTTGAGGAACTCAAAACCCTAGTTATAGACCCCTTGCTTAGGAGGAGGTTTAACTGGTCAACCCTTGAATAGCCTTGAGTACTTGAGAACCCTAGAAGAATGTCTTGAAGGAAATGTGAGAAAAATTTTTAGGGTACAACACACTTCATTCAAGAGAAAAAGGCAAAAATCAATGAGGTTTGAGGATGTGAATTCTAAATTGAAGGATGAGAAATGATTGAAGAGGATATCATTACATCAGAGGTCACCATTTACATTACCATTTCAAGTACATCACAAATATCAATAATATTACATCAAGCCATTTATACCATAAACCTATCCCGGGCCTAATCTCTAATGTGCCATTTAAACCACAAGATTTGCATTAGAATTATCATTCTTGGAGAAACATTCTCTGCATATGAAAAAGTGCTTAAACATCAAGTAAGCTTGCATGATGAGCATCAAATGAAAACTTGATTATCCCAAGGGACAAATTGCTTCAGAAATCTGTCGAAAAACAAATCATCTTAAAGAATGATCTTATTCTGGAGCAGCTTTTTTTAGTGATTCTGTTGAGTAAAAGAAGACCAGCATGAGAATTCTCTGTTGAGTAAGAGTTCAGTCAATCTAAGGCTATCACATCAATAAATCTCTTCGAGCTATACTCAGTCAGAGGCTATCACGTCAATAAATCTCTTAAATATTTTTCCAATCATTTTGAGGCTATGACATAAAGAAATCTTTTTAGAATTCATTCAACCCGGGGAAGTTATGTCGAGATTCGACAAATCTCTCTAAGAAATCTGTAATCAGAGACAATTTATTTCATGACTATAGACATTGGGGTAGGCCACCTAATATCATATTGTGGCACGGATATTCCGGTCTTCTATTTAACACAGATTCTTATAGAAATCCCACAGACAAGGGCATTCCTCTTCTGTACTCGCAAAGCTGCTCAAGCCAATTATGTTGTACAAGACGATTATAACCAGGCTAAAAGCATCATAACGGTCACCCAGACCTGGCCGACGCGCGAAGACACCTTCATCTGCTACAAACAATTTTAAACCTAATTCCTTAAGTGAATTCAGAAAGTCCAAAGTCGCTATTTGACTTGGCACGCGCAAGTGCACATCCCCCGAGAGCTAAACCTGGGAATTCGACAAGCTAAACCGGGGAATCCACAGAGCTAAACCGGGCCATTCGCAGGTTTCCATATCCATTTTTCATCCCCAAGTGATTTAAGAGGTAATTCCCTAGTGTGGCGTAAACTTGGGGCATGTTTTCAAAGAGATACACATGGTGTTCAGTATCCGTTCTTCGGCGTATTCAGTCATACCTTCCTCTCAACTGTTCAGGATGTAGGGAAGTCGGGCCATATTATCTCTTCCCTAACAATACAATTCCGAATTCAGTGGCGTACCTGAAACTTGTTTCATCAACAATTCAATCTTCAGAGGAGTCATCAATAATCTTCAATATCATGAGCTCCCCAGTGCAAATTCTTATCAATATCGCTAGTGATTTTTGGCAATACGAGTTTCCAGCGCTAGTTCTTATTGGCATCACTGGTGATGAATATCGGTTCCCAATGGGCCTCCGTTTATCCCCATGAAGTCTATTTTTTTGCATTGCATATATTTATCACTGCATCATATTGAATCTTCAAAAGAGCGTAGCCGATCCATCAAAATGGATCTTTGTGGAAAAATAAATTCAAACATGCATACGAAGAATAAGCCAGATCGAGTACCTTACACGAAAGACCTGAATCATTCAAAGACAACAATACACCCCCCAAGCGGATACCGCTCTCAAACCCAGTTGTCGTCCATCATTACATCATGACACCCAGCTAGCGGTGTCAGTAGATTGTACTTCCAAAACACCCGTCTGACAATCAATTCTAAACCCAGTTCTCGTCTGGTAGTCAGTTCCCGTATGACAATCAATTTTAAACCCCGTTCTCGTCTAGTAGTAATTTCCCATCTAACAATCAATTCTAAACCCAGTTCTCGTCTAGTAGTCAGTTACTGTCTGACAATCAATTCTAAACCCAGTTCCCGTGTGACAATCAATTCTAAACCCATCTCTCATCTGGTAGTCAGTTCCCGTCTGAGAATTAATTCAAAATCCAGTTCTCGTCTGGTATTTAGTTCTTATCTAACAATCAATTCTAAACTCAGTTCTCGTCTGGTAGTCAGTTCTCGTCTGATAATCAATTCTAAACCCAGTTCTTGTCTGGTAGTCAGTTCCTCTCTGACAATCAATTCAAAACCCAGTTCTCGTTTAGTAGTCAGTTCCTATCTGACAATCAATTCTAAACCCAATTCTCGTCTGGTAGTCAGTTCTCGTCTAACAATCAATTCAAAGTCCAGTTCTTATCTGGTAGACAGTACTCGTCTTACAACTAATCCAAAATCCAGTTCTCGTCTGGTAGTCAGTACTTGTTTGACAATTAGTCCAAAACCCAGTTCTCGCCTGGTAGTTAATACTCGTCTGACAATTAGCCCAAAACCCAGGTACCGTCTGGTGGTTAGTTCTCGTCTGATATCTAGTTCTCGATCAAGCCTAGTTCTCGCATGGTAATCAGTTCTTGTATGACAATTGATTTTTTCTCAGTTCTCGTCTGATAGTTAGTTCTCCTTTGTTATTCTTTACTTGGTCATCGATCATACAACGATCTTGACCTGTCTTCTTTCTGTTGGTTAGATCCTGTTGTAATCGATCTTTCCATGGTCGTCGATCCTATTCTTCTAACCATCTTCATTGAGAACATTGTATCAGCACCGTTACCGCGACACAAGCTATCACTATTCAATCACACTCATTCATCGCAAACCTTCTCACCAGAAAAACAAATTCTCTTTCCCCAGCAGATATCATAAGAAATATATAATAACACTCACACTTTATCTCAGAACAAATTTTTGGCATTGGTATTTAATCATCTTCTACCTCGAATGTCCAAAAGACACGCGCCAATTGTACTTTCAGGTTTAAGACAATTAAATAGGGGAAGCTGTAATACCCCAAATTTATCCTACCCTTTCACTTTTATCTAGCTTATGCATCTTGCACTTCTCACCTTATGTACATACCTTCCATTATGTCATCTAGTATTGCATGCATCATTAATCAATTAACTTGGAATATGGATTAAGGATCTTGGGGAATTAGGGTTTCTCTGTGCTTTTAGGCTCTCATCTTACTGCAAGGTTGAATCAGTTGGTTTCTTCAACAATCATGGTTTGAAGCTAGGGTTTTGGACTCATGGCAATTATGGACTTCTTTCTTATCAAGCTATAAGGACATATTAATTATGGGCTTTTAATCCATCAAGGTGCATCTCAAGGAAGCTCAGGGTTTTGTGACTATCATCACTCATATGCTTCTAATTGTTCCTAATACATTTGCTTCAAGATCATTAGTTATCAAAATGAGGTGCCTTTACAAAGTGAATTGCAAGGTTTGAATCATGGTACAAAGGTGATGTTGTGGACGTGTAATGTGATCAAGGCATTGATAGTATTTGTTGCATCAATTACAAGAGGTGGATTTAAGAGGATATTGTTACATCAGAGGTCACCATTTACATTACCATTTCAAGTACATCACAAATATCAAGAAGATTACATAAAGCCATTTACACCATAAACCTATCCTGGACCTAATCTCTAATGTGTCCTTGTGCCTCCAAAACATTCATTCCTTAACACTAATCTTCAAGCTTCCATCATCATGACTAATATTTCAACTTCATGCTCTTCACGTTACAATCCTCTTCATTCCAAGTTCATGGCATGTACATTCATACCAAAAAGCCAAGTCAATACAAGCAATCGTGCCAAAGTATCCCATGTTCATACAAGTTACTCAATACATGAAAAACCATTAACAAGTTCAAACCAAATGCCAAACACATACACTGAACAACCTGCATACCTTAACCTTGATAGAGAATAGGTCCACATAATTAAACTAACTTAAATTTAAAGGAAAATCAAATTCAGCTTCAGAACAATTAACACATAATTAACATCAACAAAAACAAGTCATAACCTAAATCCCAAATTAACAACCAGTTTCACTAATAGATCCTAGTTGTAAATAAACTGTATCAATAGTAACCCCACTTCAATCGAATTCTAGCTTCTACTAACCACCTTAGTCACATTAGACTCTATTTTAATAGAACTCCTAACTTCCCCTTAACCAAAATTCAAATACGCTAACTTTTAAATAGAAACTTTGCAATCGCAAACGGTGCAAACAGATCAGCTGCCAATTCAAAATCAGAACCAAATGATAAACTTGTATCCAAAGAATCAGTTCAGTCATCCGAGAACATAAACCAGTCCATCAAAATCCTACAAAAAACCAATCAAGTTTCCTTATTTAGAAAGAGGAAAATACAAAGAATGGAAAAGGAAATTGTGGAAGTAAAATCAGCAAAAAAAAATTTAGAAGACAAGTCACTATAACCAACCGCTCTAATATAATTCAAACCCTCAAACTTTCTTAACTAACTCAAAACATAATCATAGCTAACCTTTGTTAGACTTATCTCAACCATTGGTTTTTTGTAACTAAATCTCTAACTGGCAATTCCAGCTCATACTAGTTGTCCATAACAACTAACAAATTCTAACTCTCTAAAAATCTTATAACTAACCTTCATAATTCATAACCAAATTCATCTCTTCCCTCCATCTCATAACCAACGGTCACAGATCCAAGGGCCAAAATCTACTCACTCATAACAAACTCTAACAGTGATAACAGAAAGAGGAGAGAAGACACACGATTAAATTTCGAAGAAAAAAAATCAAGAAACTCACCTCAAGAACTCTCTAAAAGTCTCTCCCTCGATCCTTGAACCTTCCATCATCTTCTTCATGCATATCTACACTCTCTTTCTTTTCCATCTTTAATCTTCTCTTCACTCTCTCTGAACAAAATCCCTCTACTTTCTTCAACCATACACGACCATTTTTAAGTCTGAAGAAACTCCACACAAAAAACCAAAAGATATCATCTCTCTGCAATAAATTCTTCTGATGGCTTCAACATTATCATCATATTTCAAACTCTTAAATCTTTATCCATCATCGAAGCTGCAAAATCTTCACCAACCTATTTCAACAATCACAACAATGTTTCAAATCTTCAAAATCAGCACAATAACAATTCAAGAAATCGCAGAAAGTAGCAGAAGTTTCGGGATTAAAAAGGGGAAGTGAGAAGACTGAAACATACCTTTAGACTTCTGTTGATGGCATTGCCGCTGAGAGTTTCACGCATCACCATATTTTTGAATCACAAATCGCAACCGTGACGAAGGTTGATGTTTTGAAACGAATCAAACTCACGATCTGAGTTTGAGACGAAGGCGAAGACGAGGAAATAATCGACAAAGTCGAACGAATCAGAGTTGCGATGATTGAGGAGAGAGGTTGAGCCGAGATTTAAGAAGATAAAGGCCAGAGCCACGGTATCGGAACGGAAGCGAGGGAGAGATAATCGTGTTCATGGTGTTGGTCATGATCTTAAAGAGGAAGACATTGAGTCTTCGTGAAACTCAAGGGTCAGAGACTATCAACCCTAGCTTGCCTCACAAAAACCCCATCGTCTGTATCCTTTGTTTCCTTTGTTTATTTAATTTTTTTATTAAATAAAAGGTGAAGGAAGGATTTTGGATGTGGATTGGGCTGAATTGCATCAACCCTAGGCCCATTTCAATTTGTTTGGAATCTGAGACAAGGAATAACAAAAACAACTTTTGGACTCTTTATTGAATGGGCTTTAGCGCCTGCTTCTGCACAATACCTGATTCAGTTTATACCCATTTTATATAAAATTCTATTGGTTTTCTATTAATTTTTCTTTTCGTAATTTTGATGGAAAATTAATGATAAAAACTATAAAATCAATAAAAACTTGTTAGGTCTTCTTAGTTTATTTTAAGAATTAATTCTTTAGTTTTTGATATAATTTTTCCTCACATAAAAACTAATAAAAAATACTTTTTCTTTTAGTTTTTTTCTTCATATTTTACACCGTTTTAACTTGTTATATTTGACGCGTTTGTTCATTGAGCAAGGTACATTTTGGTGCTTTCGATCATGTAACATAACAAGTTGTTATGTGATCGAAACCATGGCTTATGCTCGCTTCCGATCCGACATTCCCCATTTCTCATCATCATGAGAAATTTATATTATATTATATGTTGTTCAGATGTATAATATATTTTGTGATACTTTGCGCAGGAACTTCTGATTACACGCTACGTTCGCAACATACATATGCTTTTATCTTAGTTGGATATCATTTCTGACTTTGTTTGTTTCTTGGTGAAGCTTTCTCGATGCATACTCCTTTCTTTTCCATTGCTTTCGTTCGCTCTTGACGATCCGCTTGCTTTCGGTAGTCGCCGCTACTACTTTTATATTTTTCCACACTTTATCACTTTTCTAGATATCATGAGAAGTGGGAAATTAAGAGCATGCACTCGAATTCGCTATTTAAAGTCCTGTAGCATGCACTGCTTTCTGTATGCTATTTGTGTTTACTTAAAACCGTACCTTTGAAGTAGGTATCTGCATGTTTGTCTACATTTGTGCCTGCATTATTTCCCAATCCCCCATGGAAATCCTCAAAAGGAGGCGAGCATAAAGGGTTAGCAATAAACCCCCATATTTTTGTCTATGTCATCCTTAGCTCGTGATGCACCACGACACTTCAGAATTATGCAAATCTTTTGTATCGAGTCGTCAGGTGGAAAAGGGTTTTACAACCAATCCCCCACGCTTTATTAGGAGTTCACATTGGCCAATGCAGACACTCTATGATATTTCATATTGCCTTCTATCTCCAACCTCGATCTCTTATATCTTGGTTAGGTGTTTAGTCGCTTTGGACATCACATTTTTGTTTTTACATCCTATTCCCGCTTGTTTGCTTTGGGTGATCCGCTCTCCTTAGCTAAAGCATTTCTCTTATTTTATATTTCACTCCCGATTGTTTGTCTCAAGTGTTCCTCTCCCCTTGACTAAAGCATTTCACTTCTTTCCTTAACTATTTTATGTGTGTGTTCTTTTGAGTTTGCTTGCCCACTCACTTTTTATACCATGTTCCCTTAGGATGCGCTTATTCCTATCGGGTGCAAGTTAGGCCTTAGGTTGCAAACCAATCATGCTAACATTAGATAGACGTTTCCCTTATGTTAATATGAACCTTAGGACCACCATTGTATGATAACATTAGGATTAGAAATAGGCTAGTCTCCCGTAGACTCTTTTCTTTCCCTTTTTGCATTTGCATTTAAAACTAAAATTTTCATTTTCATGGAAAATCATAAAACATCTTAATCATACTGTAATACGGTGGGAGAACTGACTTGGGTGTTTGCGTTTCATCATAATGATTGCGGATAACAAGAGTCTAAACCGACTTTTCTTTTATCCAATAAAGGAAAGGGTAAAAAGAACAGGAAATACCTTTTGAGAATTTTCTTGAGTTTGGGGGGTAGGTTATGAAAAGGGAAGGTGTTAGCACCCTTTTCATATATAGTTATCTACGGGCTCTTAATTGCTATCTCACTTTGAAATACTTTATTTGAAATGTGTTTGTGATGTTTTTTGAAAGTATTTTTGAAAGTGCCTTTGTTTAGGAGAACTTTATAATGATTCTCGTTTCTATAAGAAAGCATACAAAGTGTTGACTTTTAAAAATATTTCATTTGAAAGTATTGGTGTATTTGAAATATGTTTTGAAAATGGTTGTGAGCAAGTAACTATGAACGTTCTACCTACTCAAAAAGTCTTTGTTCATTTCCTACTATGAACGTTCTACCATTGATTGATAAGAAGCCCTATCATTGGATGTGAATGGACGGGCGTGGGTCATCGTACAATCATAGAAGGCAACATTGTAAGATACCTTAGAAATTTGTCGTAAGTGTCTAAGATCATTTACCGAAGGCAACATTGAAGGGTCATCGAGGGACTACGATCTTGTATTCGAGGGTCTTTGCTAAAGTATCCGACGTTCAAGGGACATGATTGTTTTTATCTTAGGCAATAAGTGAGTTGAGCCCTAGAGGTGCAAGTTTGCAAAGTGTTTGTTTTTCATGCATTTTTATCTTTTGAATTAGGGTTTTCTACTTTTTGATTTTATGTCTTGCCATACAAACCCTAATTACTAGCATTTATATTGAAAGCGATAAATTGCAGAAATTTAAAGTTCTACACTATTACATTATTTGGGGATGGGGGATACAAATTTACAAATGGGGGATGAAAGCAAATAAACCCTAATTTACTATTACAACCATATTGAATATGAACAAATAATGTACAAGAATGTATGGTAATATACAAGGAAAAAGAAATTATTTTTGTTTGAGTTTTTTGAAAGGGTTTTAATTCTAATTAAGCTAAAATAAAAAGAAATAAGTAATTAATTCAAATAAACTAACCTAAATTGATTTAAGAAAAGAACTTTAATTAATTAAGCAAAACAAATTCTTAGGGTTTTATATAAAAAAAAGTTTTAACCTAGTTAAACTTAATAAAAAGAGATTAATTAAAAATCCTAAATTTTAAGTTAATTAATATACAAAGAATATTAAAATAAATCTAAGCCTAAATTGA